TTTATGATCCATAAAAAATTCTGAAGTGATTTTCTTGTGTTTATCTTATCCTTAGCAAGTAGCGTTGACCTTTAAGTTTTTACTTCACTGTCAAAGTATGTTGAAAGCTTTAAAAGTGAAGCTATCACCTTGGGGATTTGTAAGGATGACTGACACTTACCACTTCACCTCTGCCGCAGCGGCACCGAGCGTACACAGCAACCTTGTACCTCAGGGGAAGCTGCTTGATTTTTTTCACTTCTGCTTCAGTGGAAATGGATTGAATTTTCTCTTCAGAGCACAGTTTTGGTTGCATTAGATTTTAATCAAGTCACTTGTTCACAGTCCTTCCAAGCCTACAAGACTGAGATGAGTAGATGGGCCTGGGGTGAATGTGCTACAAGGTTTGTCAAACTGTGAAACTCCAGGATCGGAGATGCCACGTGGTGTAGTTGACAATACTCAAAGTGTTCGGAGGTTGCAGCATTACATAAGCTTCCCATCTCTTTAACACTGGGATTAAGAGCGAGAATACTTGGGAAGCGTTTAGTCATAAAATAACTTGTGAGCACATAAGGGAGGAAATACGGCTTTGCATAAAGTGGTACTGCTGCTTTTCTTCCCTGAAGGTAGGGTTGGCCAGTTAGTAGACTGATATGCCATGGTGTGGCTTTGCTGTTCAGAACTGTTGGTTTGAATTGGAAGCCCCTGCAAGGGGAGAGGTGATTCACCTGGTAAAGAGACCTGTGCAGGATGGAGCTGCAGCACTGAGCCTCTCCAGCCCCTATCAACCTTTCTGTAGTATACAGTGTTACTTTGCTCACAGTTTTGTTTGTTTTCTTTTTTTAAATGCATTGTGTGTGAAAGCAGAGTAGTGTTATTTATGTATCTGATCGCAATATTTAGATACATGAATTGGTTGGAATGGCCTTCATAAGTAATTGTAATACACAGACTCTAATAAACTGTAGATGATGAGCATTTGCTTATTTCATACTGTTATGTTAAATCTGTTTGTACTTGGAATGCCTGGAGCATTTGAAGATAATATCCTACTGTAATACTTTTCATCTAAAATAATGGGCTAATAAGTTGAGGTGCTGTGTTTAGATAGGTGAGTCTTGTGCCTCGCCTGTGTCTGTGTACGTGCATTATTTAGTCTTAAATCTCTCAGATGTTGTTACTACTTTCGAAGCAAGGAAGGAAAAGTTAAAAGCTGTGCCATTTAATGCTTCTTCCATTTAAGAGTTCTCACATGTAAAAGAAAAAAAAAAGGTTTTCATGTCTTTTACTTTCCTGCACTTGCATGATTTTTATGATTCCTTGGCATTCGTCAGGAGGAAAGTAGATGGCAAGCATATTCTTGGAGAATTCTGATTATTGCTATTTCAGGTGGGGGAGAGATGCATGAGGTTTTTAAGAGGGTAGATTTGCTTAAAAACCATTTTTATGTCTTTTTAGGGGACAAGGGGTGAAAGTGGGGAATGAGGTGATCACCTGAATTTTTTTGGTTTTCAGGAGGCGGGGAATTAGATGTTAAACTTAAATGCATGTTGTGAAGTTCACTGCATGACACAGACAGTAGTCTTCATTTCCATTGCCGTTTGTCCTGTGATAAAGAAGCTACTGAAATGCCAGAAAATATTCATACCCCTTTTCTGTTTTTCATTTCCATGCAGGAGAATGCTGAGAAGGTTTGGGCATGAGTTTCCAAGTGTGTCTTTGTATCCCTGCCTACGTGTGTGTGTGTTTGTATTCGTACAGCTCTCAGGTTATTTGCCTTTGTCCTTCCGGCAGTTGACTCCTCAGCCTAGTACAGCACTGCTGGGTGCTGATCTAAGGGCAGATGTTGGTAAGGAGCAGAATTCTGTTTGCAGAAATGAAAGAACTCAATTCTAAGGAAAGAAAAAATGCCTCTTCTGGTTTTGTGTTTTTTCCACTGATTTTTTTTTTTTTTTTTCCTGTTTAAGCAACCAGCTCATAATAGATAACTATTTTTATATCCTGCTGTTAGATACAGCCACGCTATGTTAATTTTGAATACATCTGGGTCAGGCAGCCATACTGCTGAAAGGCTGCAGGCTTCTGCATGTACATGTGCATGTTATTTTGGGGGTCAGAAACAATCTCTACTCTTCTGAGGTTCGTGTCATAGGCTGACAAATACAGTCCATATTAACTACAGTATAAACCCATTTTGTTACTTATTTACGTATCGTTTGAATTAACCTGGGTTTCTTCAGGTGTGTACTTGTTGTTTATCCTCTTTTCCTGAGTTGTCAACAGTTAAAAATGCGTTATAATGAGAATTGTAGAATATTTAATGCAGTTGTTGGGGAAAAAAGCAAACTCGTTTTACTAAGTTGGATTAAAAAAAAAAAAACATTCAAAAATTCTTTGGAGTGGTAGTAGAAACGGCCTCCAAAGATTTTTCCAAGTCTTAAATAAGAAAGTTTGTTCATGGCATTTACTTTTTGTTGCTATTTCTCAGTTGATATTGTGTAGTGAAAGATGTCGAACTAATTAAGCATTAAAAGAACGAGCGGTTAGCAGGTATAATGCTGTTAGACTTCAGTAAATGTGAATGTGACCGTGACCTCCCAGATAGATCAAAGCCTAATCTGTCTGACAGCTACAAGATGGCAGAGCTTGCCACGGGCCTTCTGCTGCTGCCTGCTGAAGCTATTTGTCTGTAAAGCATGCCTGATAGCTAAGAGTATATTTTTAAGGATGAACAGGTAAAAGTAAAAGGCTGTCTTCTGACATTTTAACTAATCCCTTCTAGCCTGTGGTTTACTGCGCATTTAGGATATTTGCTAGCAGGAGAGACTGGCTTTTTCACATATGCAACATGTCATTTTGAATCGGGCGTTGATTTGATGTTTGGTAATGTAAGAGTTATACAATGAAATAGATTCTGATTGCATTAAAATGACATGCCCTGGCCTTTTACCTTTCGTAGACTTACAATGAAAACTGAACTCTCAGCAACGTAAGTTGTCATCTCATGCTGAGACATGATCGTCAAAGTGAGAAAACCCAGTGCTTATTTTCTGTTAACCCTTTATTCAATAAGATAGAAAAGACCAACGCAAATAGTGACTTATTTTTTTATAATTTGAAAAACAAAATGCCATTGTTGATGGGCATTACAAGTTGTATACATTTCCATAATGCTGACGTGTATTGGCTTGTAGTATCAGTGTATTTTATTTACGGGATAATACGTTGTGATGGAGATGAGATGATCTGGCTGTTCTGCCTTCTCCTGTTACCATTTGCCATTGGTTAGGCTTTTAAAAACTTGAGTGAAATTCTCCAACCTCACTTCAATGTTGAGGAGTACCCTGATGTTCCTCCAAGTAGCACCTATGTACGTGGAAATGCTCAGTTATGCTTTGGTTCCTTCTTAAAGAATGGTATTAATGCTCCTAAGCTGCTTGGAAGAAATCATCTTCTGTTTTGAAAATTACAAAGGAGACCTCATATGGCAGTCAATAAATTCAGGGTGACTGGAACAAATATTAAATCTGTGAAATCAAACTGAATTTATTTTCTGGCTGTAAAGATTGAATTTGTAAATTTGACAGGCAATTTAAAGGGCATAAGTACATAAAATAAAATTTCTTACCCAAATCCAACTTGAAAGTTACCTGTCAGAAGAGGTTAGAAGTCTGCTGTTTTCTCTCCTGAAGCGTGTCCTTTCACTTGTCAGTTTAGAAAGGTTAATACTGTACAAAAGAGCAAAGGAAGGACCCTTGTTGGTGTAGTTTTGTTTGTTTAAAAATAAAAACCTCAACAAACGCAACCATCAGCTCCCCCACGGTCAGGAGAAATTCTTTTGCTATATGTTATTATAACTGTGCATAATGTTAGTTCAAGCAATTCTTGCTCTGGTTCAGGTCAGGCAGTTCACGCGCAGTTGCCCAGATGATCAGAAAAGGGAATCGAGGAATTTATTTTGCAGTTCTTGTCAGAGCTGCCTTTGGAGCAGTGGGAGAGGCCGATTCTTCTAACTATTTCCCAGCCTGAAATACTGGGTAGCTTAATATTGCATCATACAGCAAAAGGCAGTGGGCAGCAGGAGCTCACTCTGAGGGTACTGTTGCAGCTTGTATTACGTGGCCCCTCTGTTTTTGCTTCAAATTGTGCTGTTACAGTGTATTTTTCTGCACTTCAAACATGCCTTCAAAGATTGAGTAAATATTAGAACCCTCTATGTCTGCCTTGTATGATCTGTGAGTAAAAGGGGTATTGATGGTCGTCCTGATGAGCGTGGTGGAATTCATTCTTTTGTGGCTAGAGCAGCTTGTTGCCTTCTGGGTACTGATGCTGGGTAATAAGGCAGTGTCCTGGCACGCACTCTGGTTAATAATTGAAGTACAGCTACTGGCAACCAACATTCAGGGGGTTCTGCAGCAAAATAGGTTATAGAGCTGCTGTCTTCTGGAGCTTCCAGCATTTCCTTTTGGCACACCAGAGGAATTCCCAACTTCATAACCCGCTGATTGCAAACTTGAGCCTTGTAGTTAAGGGACTCTCTTGGCCAAAGATATGAGACCTTTCAAATGTTTTATGGTTAGAAATGTTCTGTGTATTAAGTCATTGTTGTTAAAACGCTCCTGAAGTGTTTATGTAATGCAGGTGCAGTCTTCTGTGTTGTGAAATTTGTACTGAATGTTTTCAAATTCCGATTGCTGCATAGCAGATCTGATGATATGTTTCCAGTTTATTGTTCTTGGTCCTTTTAAATTGCAGGTATGAATCAGTTGCATATTTTGACTTTGGCAGCTTGGAACATTGAAGCCTTTGCTGCGTCACAATTGTGGATAAATGATAACTGTAGACAAAACTTGGAAGACTTTCTATTAATGTTGTTTCTGATCTATTTTATCTAAGAAACTCTCTTTTTTACCTTATAATGTCCACTGATTAAATCAGGCTCTGATTCTTTTTCCATTTTAGAATATTTTCTTTTCAAGAGCATAATTGCAAACAATATTTTGTGATTTCTTTTTTAGGTTGAATTAAAGAGGAAGTATAATGATCAGCATAAAACTACAAGAGGCCTTTTATCAGGGAGCCAGTGGTATGAAATCCAGGCTTACAGGGCTCTGAATCAGGCCCTGGGAAGGTGAGATAAACCTAGTGTGATTAAGAACATACATATTTGTAGAACTTTTTGTATATGACGTCTTCAATGACTGATTCCTCATTGTTAACATGGGGTAAATCAGACCAGAAAACTGATACTGTATAAATCAGGTATTCAGCTGCTCTGTACTGGCAGCTGTCTGCCAGTTGTTGTGCATTTGAGCACTGTTAAGAGTTCAGAATTTTCATTTTTCATCCTGCAAAGTTAGGCTGCAGGTTCACTTGTTGTTACTCCAGATACAGAAAGGAAAGCATCTGCAGAGGAGGAATAATTACTGAGCTTACAAATCAAATGAAAAAATCTTAGGTCTTTTCTAATGTACTAATTATACTCTTGGTGAGCTTAGAAATTTTTTTTTAATGTTTAGCCTACAGTATTTTTGAAAGGAATAAATATTTGTTCTGTTTTTTTGCAGGCCTTTGCTAAAGGTCAATTCAGTTATCATGCTTGCTGATCTCTTTCCAGATTTAGAAGTGGTATAGCTTACTTTCTCAAATGAAATAATTCACTCAAATTTTATTAACAGAACAGAATTAGTTCATCCTTCCCCAACAGAGTTTACTGTATGCAGATAGCTACTGTATAGCTATCTATCAGCTGCATTTAATGTAGATGCTGTACATGTATGTATATTATACATCTGTACAGTGATATGAATGAAGGTTTAGGGACAAACTTGAGACAATATAGTCTAAGTAAATAAAATCTCATTGTAAATTCTTGTTGCTTTAGATCGTACATTCTTAAGTTCCTCTTAGTTACAATTAGCTAAGAAAAAAGCTAATAGAAGTGGTGCAATGCTAGCAGTAAGAAATTGATTTGAAGCTTTGTCACTGTGAAATAAATTTTAACTTGATTCTAGCTTTAGTGAAATTGCTTGTTGTATCATTTGTCATGTGAATAAACTTGTGCTAGTCGAAATTTAACAGGAGGAAATAGGCTTCCATTCTGAAACAAACATGTAAATGGTGTGCATTATTGTTGGACTAAGTCCTTACTGGCTGAGGTTTGGTGAAGAATGATGGCAAATGATGACAGTTCTTATAAAAACAGAGCAGCCTACTAAGTTATTATAAAGTATAGCTTCTTGGGGCAGACACAGGAAGTAGTTGCTGTAGGTACACAAACAGTAGTTGCTGTAGATGCCTGCAGGGATGGAAGTGAGCAGAAGCGTGCTAGTCCTCAGTCTGGCACTTTTCTCTTAATTCAGTGCTCTTACAGTATATGAAGTAACACGCGTCTTTGAAATGAAGCAGCAGCCTTTGGGAATTGAACAGATGGTGTGTATGGCCAGGTGACACCGTGCAATGAATTCCTTGCAATGCTGCTTCTCCTAAAAGTGCAGGATGTCTCTCCCAGCGTGTGTCATTCATCTAAACTATGAGTCAACCCTTACCCATGCACTGAAAAAATGAGAAGTGGGAAGAAGCCTGTTTCTGAGTAAAGCTCTTCTCATTGTGGAGACATCTCAAATGTGAACAATTATCGTTTCTTCGGTGTCGCCACTTTAAGCCCTGACTGATACACTTGTGTTTTCATGTACGTTTGCAAACGTCTTCAAAAACTGTCCACTTCTTAAGCAATGGGGGTAATAATCCTGAACTATCACTGACAGATTGTTTTCCATATTTCACTCATGTTATTACTGGGAGGCAGTATGGAAATCCAAATAATGTTAAAAATGTCAATGCGTGAGAAGTGAATACTGGAACATTTTTGGAGGTCTATAAAACCTCAGCTACAAACTAAACAGTATCACCCACAGCTTTGATCTGCACCTCTATACATTGCTTTATGAAAATGCCTAGGTCATTTTAAAAAACCCCACATGCTTGCCATTGCATTGGAGTTAATTTTTTCTCCTTTTTTCTTACGTTTTCTCCTTTCAGTATTTAATTTGTCCAGTTAAGAGTAGAAAACAAATATATGGCTTGATTAGATGCTGAATATTTGTTTGGTTTTAATTTGTTTCCACATAGTAATGGAAATGAAGGAAAATTAAGCTTCTGTGATACACTCTGGTAGTACCATTCGTGCAGCCAGAATGAACGTTATTTGCTGCAAGGGAGTAGGAAGATGCTCTGTATATTTTTGCATATCCCAGCAGGCTGCCTCTTTACTATTTCTCCTGTCTGATCCCCACAGTTTTTTACTATATGGCCTCCAGTTATACAGACATTGTTTTTTTCATTGCTGTAGGTGTATAAGGCATAGGAGTGATTGGGGTGCCCTTATCTTAGTTGATGACCGCTTCCGGAACAACCCTAACAAGTACATAACTGGTAAGCTGTTTAAAATAATAAAATAAATAAATCTTTTTGGGAAAGTTCCTATTAATAAATGAAGATTACAGAAATATGATTGTAGGAGGTAACAAAGCATAGCCATGAAACTAAAAATCTGCAGTTGAAAAGAAATTGCTTAGGAGGCAATGCACTGTGTGTCTTTATTCCTGATCGGTTTGGAAAAGATCTGTAAAGGAGTCAACAGATAATGTTGCTGTCTAGTCAGCAGGTGGAGCTCAGCTGCCATGGTACGAGTCAAACCATTTTCTGACATGTCTTTTGCACAACCAATGCATTCAAATTATATCCCTTCTGCTTCCTGAGATACATTTGTATCTGTTCTGCTATTTGAGAGCTGTAAAAATGATTGCTGTATGAAAGCATATTGCATTTTATTTTTTTGCAATTGACAGTTGTGGTTATTTCTGAATATCTTGCTTAATCTGAAATAAAGCTTTGATTTACTTAAATTCTAGTTTTTGTCATTAACTTTTTAGTACAGTCATAAATATCTATACTCTGAGTTTCTTTTAAATAATTCTCAATAACAAGAAAAATGAATACCCAGGCATAAAAGCAGTGCATACATAATAATAAAACTGGGTATACATAATGTAGTTTTGTTGTAACACTTCTTTTTTTCCTCCCCCATTAGGATTATCTAAATGGATTCGTCAACAAGTCCAGCATCATGAAAATTTTGGTAGTGCACTCGAATCCTTACATGCATTTGCTGAAAGAAACCAGAAAGGCATTGATTTTTCGTCACAGGGTAGCAATGAATTTTCCCATGTACCTTTAAATTCAAAAGAGCTGTCATCAGCTTCTCAACAGGAGGCAACTATTCACCTGTCACCAGATGTTCCTGTTAAAACTGAGGAGCAAAGTTTGGTCCCAGGAACTCATTTAACTACAACCATCGACTCAATTAATCCTGAACCATCAAATCAGCCAAGTAATATCACAGCAATAATGCAGCAAAGTATGTTCATTTCCTGTGGGGGGGAAAAGGGCTTCATTAACAATTTCAAGTGTTCACTCGTATCTCTCTTGGAAGAAACAAATATATTTTTTTTAAGTATTGAAATGCTATGATGGAAAATAATTATTCACATATGTATATGAGCTGTGCTCAGCATACTGCAGTTACTCTTAAAACAACTGATAATGTTTGAAAGGTTTGCAGTGCAATCAAAATTACTTTCACTTAAATTGATTTTGTCATCGGAAAAAATGAAGATAATTTAAAATATGCTTGAAACGTGATTTTGAGCATTATTGCAAGGTTTAATTATTGCTTTGATTCAAACTGTATCTGCTGTTTAGGTACAGTGAGACTCCCTGTGTACAATCAATTCCTATAAAAGCTTTACAAGCAACTATCCTTCCATTCCTCAATTTTAGAAAAGCTTGTCATTTCACTTCTGGTAAGATAGATGTAAATCATGGAAGAGAATAAAGAGTAAAAAAGACAGGTTTTGAAATCCAGTCATACATATGCTCTCACTTTACATGGGCCAGTTAATCTATTGATTTCATTAAGACAATTCATGTGCAAAGATAGTTGTAACATCTGGGCTTTTGTTTGTATTGGATCTTAATGAGCATTATAAAATATCTGCAAACCTAATAAAACAGTGGTAATTTTGATGTGCTAAACATGCTGTAAATCAGCAGGGGGAAGGCATATACAATTAATTAATGTGTTGTGATTTTTCACAGGTGGCCAGAAAGTTGATGTGGAGAGTCATTCTCACAATGCAACACAAAGAAGAAAACATATGGACTCCAAACCCAGAAGGCCTGCAACTAAAACAGAGAGAGAAAAAAAGAGTGATTGGACTAATTCTGGTTTTATGAAAGAGCACTGCTGCTTTAAACCACTGACTTCAACACCTTTGCCTGTAGCCACGAACTGCGTGTCCACAGCAAGCAGCAAACAAGGAAAGAATGTGAACAGTGCTAGTGAACTTATTGGTGGTGTAAATCAATGCCAGTCATCATTCACTTTAGAACGTAAACAAAGTATACCAGAGTCACATTTGGAAACAACTGATTTTTCAGTCAAAAATACAGAGGCCCCAGTTGCTGAGGAGCATCTTGATGAGCAAAAGCTTCACATTGAGCCCAGTAGTGAGCTTCCTTCAGTAGGAGGGAAGCCTGAACTTTCAGTGTTAGACATGTCTGCAGAAGCTGAGGATGAGGATGAGAGCCTTTACTTCACTCCAGAGCTCTATGATGATGCAGAATCTGAGGAACAGGAAATGAGACCACTAGATCCAGATGAGAATCAGATTGAATGTGGGAAACCCACAGTAGCTGATGATCTTTTTGTAATCAATACCTCAAAAACACTAAGTGAGCCAAAAGCAATTACTAATGCTGATGTCAGAAACACAGGTTTACTTGGAACAATGCTGAATGATATCAGTAAGAATAGTGCAGTTAATATTGAAAAGATGACTAATGGAAAAGAAGCAGAACAGGTAGAATCTCAAGAGGTGGACACCAAAAAACGGAAAATCAGTCTTTCCAGATCAAGAAATAAAGGTGTGTCACTTTTTTTACTGGACAATACTAGCACATAGTGACAGCTTCCATAGGGAATGTGATGAGCAGTCTTTACAACATAGCCTCACTGGAGAGCAACGATTGCTTTCCAATTCACATTCTATTTCACATGCTGTTATCAGGTTCAATATATCATGTTGGTTTTGTTTTTCACTGTGCAAATTATGCTCCCTTCAGTTATCTGCAGATATAAGATTCTTCACCCTAATTGTATGACCAAAGGACAGGTATCATGTGTGAAAATTCTCTTGCTTGTACGGCGAGGAGGTCTGAGTCTTACAGGTTTTATTAGTCTGCTATTAAACACAAGCAGTTGAGTTTACATCAGAAAGCAAAAAATCCATATAAAATTAGGGTTTTCTGCATTTGTTAGGGTTTTTTTAATTAAAAATGTATAACAGCAGCTTTGCAGATCAAGTAATACTGTAGCTTGAGAATGGATACTGAAATAGGTGTATGTTCTTCAGAACTCTCTTCCCTCACATTTCTTCTGTTAAAATGAGTGTGTTAAAGCAGAGGCTGTGCAATAGTAGCATTTGCACACTTGGATATTTGATGATGATAGACTTCTGAATTAATCTTTTTTTGTTTTATATGGAAGTTGAGGTTTCTTTAAAATTTCCTTTTGGGAGGTAATAACCTTTGGGGGTCAGATTTCGTATGTACTCATCAAAATGAGGACTCATTTGCCCTTCATGCCATATATAACAATGTAAATTTGTACATAACTAACTTTAAATCTCCCTCAGTCTGCTTTTTTTCTTTTTTTTTTTTTTTTTTTTAATCATTTAAAAACTTCTTTGATTTACTGCAGTCAAAACACCAACCAAGATTTTGCTGTAATAAAATGTCAGGCATGATTTTCAAGAAAAGACTGTTTCTATTGTGTATTAATATGCAGATGCAAGGTTTTTACAACTGCTTTATGGCCATTTGTATGTTCTGAGTGAGAGCTGAGTAAAATTTTACTGGTCATTTTCTACAGAATTTTATCTAAATAGCATTCTGATGTCCACCTCTACATAACTGTGAATGTGTTCATGTCAAAAGTGATTTAAATTCTCTTTATGTAATAAATACAACTTTATAAAATTAGGTCCAAGGATGGAAAGAATATTGTTCAGTTTCTGTAACCAGTATTACTATGCAGTGTTTACCATTTGGTTAAGCATTTTCTTTTACTGGTGCCATGTAAGGATCACGTTTAGGTTTATGGAATTCCCGTAGTCATCAGGTAATGATGGTAACTATGTTCATGCTCCCACTTGATATAGGGTAGAAGTAAGCTCTAATGTTGGGAGCCATTTAAACATAAAACTTATTTAAAGATAAGTGTAGCTACTTCAGATTAAAATTTAAGTAATTGATTGAAGGTTGCAGTTCTCTGTGGGACTGGCTTCTGGGAAGAACTGTCCCATAGGAAATGGTGGAAAGGAGGAAGAAGAGGAAAGGGGGAGTTTCTTTTGGTGTAAAAGCCGTGTAAATTCTATCTTTGTTGATCCTTCTAACTAGTTCCAACATTCAGTATCTCAGTGGGTAAGAATATTTGTTTTCTTTTGTTAAAAAATTTATGGCAATTTAGAATACTATATTAAATACTGCCAGTCTGCAAGTGGAAGGGAAGCAAAATCAATGAACCAGCTTTCCTAGAGTTGCTTGATTTCCCAAATGTAGAAAAGCAAAATTACTGAAAATTCTTCACATATGTATTAGTTTGACGTGATCTCTTATGTCTAATCATAATATCTTGACTTTATTAAAGGATTGAAAGTTCAGAGACAGTACAGAAGAGGAAAATCTACTGTTAGGGCAAGAGACAACACCTGTGAAAAAAAGGTACCCTGTAGATAAATATCACTGTTGAAGTGATTACTGTTGAATGTTAAGCTGCAGGGGAAATACAGTCTATTATATGATCTTTTAAATGATCCATGGATAAACACACAGCATCAGTGTGTGTGTAGTCTGTATGGTTTGCTCTAGGTCTTTACAATCAATAGAAACCCTTGTTTTCCATGTGAAACAAAAAGGCCAAGTGTTACCAAGTCCTGTTAGCATAGATGGAAGCCACAGCTATTGCCAGCATATAGACTCATCTCGTAACCCATTGTAGATGGGATTCCTGCCTCAATATAAGCCATGATTCCAATTTCTCAAAACTAATTTTTAGGGCAGGATTGATGGTTGGACTTATTGATGTTAGAGGTTTTTTCCAACCTTAGTGATTCTATGACTTGCAGTATAAGAACATAACCATACTGAAACAGAGTTGTCGGCCTTTTTCAAGATTCCTCTGCAGAATTCCAGTCTAAATCTCTGACAGTCTGCAGCATTATTGGCTGTAAAATATTTTATACAAAGCCATTTCTATTTAGGTTAGGTTAAATGATTTTAGCATTTACTACATTATGAGTTAATATAAATGATAAACGTGGAGTTGAATAAATTTGAGCGTTTCGTATCTCAAGTAGATTTGATACATTTATTAATGTGTTTATATTTAAAGTCCTTGAATGTACATAGATGCACAGCTAGTATCTGCAAAGGGCTATTCCCATTAACTCGTATATTGGCTTATTAGAAGGAAAACCAACAACAGCCTTGCAAGAGAGGACTTTACTGTATTATCTGCGGAGCAGAAATACTACCAAAAGCAGAAGGTAAGACCTATGAAACTGATCATTTGTTTCAGGTTGGGAACTGTAGGATTCTTCACCCTTTTACTTTTACAATGTTGGATACTGAGGGGGTATTTTAGAATAATTGGTTAATTTCTCTACTGGAAATTCTAGGTGGTATTTCAGTGAAAATAAATTACTCTTATTGGAGTTTTCCAGACAGATTTGTCTTGCTTGGTAAGTCATGATTGTTCCAGATATATTGATTTATCTTGAAATACAATGGTAATCTGAGTGGCATTGAAGAGTTAACTGAAGGCAACTTGTCCTGGCATTATGGAAGGCTGAAAGAGATTATTTGTAACACAGTCACCCATTCACTGGGGTGTGTTGCTTCTCAGGATTAAGTATTAATTTGCTACCAGTTGGTAGTGTCTTGGCACAGTAACTCTAGGGAGCTAATACAAGTTGTAATGAAGCCATCAAGAGTTCTACTGACAAACTGGAACCGTAGGATCACATTGCTGTTCTTCACTACGTAACCTACATCATATTAGTTCAGCTTGATTTTATGCCTTCCGCTGGTACATTTTAAGAAATGTTAACTAGATGTGTTCTAAAGTTGCCTCTACTATTTTTGTGATGTCCTTCACTCTGGGAAAGTCTAAAAGCTGATGTTAGTAATAACTCTTCTACTTCTTAAGAACGCCCTGTATTTTCAGTCTATTAGGCCATATGTGGTAATGATCTAATTAGAGTGTGTTGTAATCAGTTACATGCAGAAACAATTAGAAATAGGTGCTTAACACACTTGATATATGAAATCATTGTATTCCAGGAGAGTGTAGGAATCTTTTTATGATAGTTGATAGTTGTGGGTTTAACTGGTCCCAGTTTTACAAACCGAAAGGTAAGAAGACTTTGTATGCATTGAAGTACATCTCTGGAGCTTGAAAGAAAACCAGAATGCTGGATTTTTGGATGGTGCTAGAAATGATAAGAAGATTGAGATGGAGACATGAGCAGAGACCTGTTTCTTACCCAGAGTTATGCTTACAGCAACCACTATGATGTGGGATAGTCCCACAGCATCCCTTCTTAATGGCCCCAGAAGCTCATTAAGTAATGAAACAGTTACAGAACTGGCATCAAAGAAGAGATAGTAGCAAGAAGAAAAGCTCTTGATGCAATCCTATGTGTTAAATAAAATCACTTAGAGTTGCTGAGGTACTTTAATGCTAACAGTTACCATGGTGTCCATTGTCACTAAGAAGTTTAATGCTGTTTAAATTGAATTTCAAATGTCGGTTGATGAGAATTTTAAAACATAATAATCTGACATAGCTTGAAGAAAACTTTAAATATGTGACTTTATCCAAAATGAATTCAAACTCCTTAGTCAATTTGGGAGTTATAGCAAAAGGAAAACTATCTGCTGAAAAGCAAATTTTGGATGGATTAAAAAAATAAAATTAAATAAGGCCTTCTTCCAAGGTCCATTTACATTAATAGAAGTCTTTTCACTGACTTAAGGCAGTATTGGATCAGGGCCTAAGTTACCATCTTGTGAATGTGGAAAGTTTGCAGTATGTTTGAACAGTGCTGCATTCAAAACCATGTGTACATGTAAGTCTTATGCCCTACTTTCTAAATTGTAGGCATTTTGAGAAAAACTTGTTATGGTGATATTGAGATGAAAGTAATCTTGAAACTCTTCAGAAGTACGCATGTAAGAAGTAAGGAATCCAGTAATAACTGTACATGTGAACTAGATGTCACTTCAGATGATGATAACATGATGTTGGTCATCACAGATGTTGCAAGTCTCAGTCATCTTAAAGAAACTTTGAAGATTTATCAGATGCCAGTGAAAAGCAAAGGTAAATTTTACTGATAATTGGTAAATGCCACTTAGCATTTGTCAAACCCTGCAGCTTTAAAAGAAATACTTTTCATTTCCTCCAGCTACTCCTGATTTTGGTAACATGCTTTTATCTCTTGATCTACATATGAAATTTCCTTCTATAGAAAGGACCAGTACAAGTCTTTTGCCCCATTTAGTCTCCAATATACTTAGAAGTTTTGCAGATATTTTTACTGGAAGATGTTTATAAGCCAAGAGAAACGCCTGAGTGTTCAAAAAAGACTGTAACCTGTCTTTCATTAAATTGTTCCATAAAACGTTCAAAGCTATACTAAATCTCTTTCTGTATATTTTCCTTATTAGGAAATTTCCTCCTTTTGAGTGACATGATACCAAGTTATAAAATGTACCCTCTACTTGTTTTCTTTCGTTACCCATTGGCTCAGTGTGGTTGCTGCAATCATTGCTTTCTTTGTGTCAGATCTGGGTATTGATTTTTCAGTTACCTGTTGCTGTGTAACCCTGACTTCATTTTTCTGATCTTCACCTCTATCATCTTGCTTCATGATGCTTCTGCTAAGAAATAATTCATTTTACAATATTATGTTTTATTGCCAGTGTGGTAGTTTGAGTTTACACTGGTTCTTCCTCTAGACCAGGTTGCTCACAGCTCCAGCCAGCCAGCAGCAGAACTCTGCTGAGATCTGTGGAATTCTTTATGTTTAATCAAACACTGACGATGGGCACCAGGCTCCTCTCCATTCCCAAATTCCTCATGTCCTTACGTAATATTCTGATCAAAAAGAAAGCATAAGAATAGCAAAAAGAAATTTGTTCACATTCCTTATAACAAATGAAACTTATGAATTAGAGGCGCATACCCAGCCACGGTGGATATATAAAGTAGGTCTCTATAGCTGCAGTGTGTTTGATAGGAAATGAAGACAGGTATCAGACTGCAGTGTGTGATCCTTTAGCAACATTCAGGTGACAGAAGCCAGAAGGAAAGTATTGGTATTTGCAAGTGCATGGGCAGTTCTACTATTAGGACAGCACAATTGTGTGTGGATTTTTTCACACAGGCTCTATTTTAAATGATGCTGAATTCACAGAGATGAGTAAGAGTTCCTTATCATGTGACTTTCTGCTAAAATATGAAAATTAAGTTTTGAATTGTGAAGTGCATCCTAGGATCTCTTAACTTCTTTAGAATATCTCCCAGTGCTGATGTGAAGCATTTCTTTCTTTCTTTCTGAAAGGCACGAATGCCAGTTTATCTTTAAATGCGGTTTGGAATGAGAAGGAATATTCTCTGACAAGTTACTTACAGTGCAAGAGCTGCCTCGTCCAGTCAATGTCTCCGTGCCCTTTGATAGGAGCTGAGGTTATTCATTTCAGCAATAAAGCACAGTCATGGGTAAGTAAACTGGTTTATTTTGTACATTAGAATGGTTACTGAGTGACTGTAAATATTAAAATATAATTTCTTTTACAGATAGAATGAAAATTTTACCTAGATTAATTATATATTATTGATGTGATTTCTACTACAGAGATTTGAAATTATTTTCTATATTAAAAACTGTATTCAGATACCTTAATACATTTTTCATTATTTACATCTAGTTTGATGCAATGTCTGTGGTATTATGCTTTATGAAGAGGGATAGGAAAAGAGGCAGCAGCTATCCATGTCTTTCATGAAGGGAAAATCAGAGCAAAGCATCAGACACAAAAATATTAATCAGACCCTGAATAATTAACATGGATAAGGTCTAAAGGAGTCAACAGGACAAAAATTATACATATTGTGTTTCTAGTAAGGTTAGCAAACACTGTTAGCAAAGTCAATAGAACTCTTTGAAATCTAGATGAGAAAGGTATGTATGCTTTATTGTACATTTAATAATGCTTTGCTTTAAAGTAAAGAACAGGATTCATCGTGAATGAACTTTGCAAATAACCTCAGGATACCTATCTCCTGAATTTTCCTCCATTTATACTATGGGTAGAAAGATAATTGAATTTAATTTGTGATAGAGAATCAAATTTAATTCCACTTTGATGTTTTTCAATACTAGCTGTGCAAACTGAACCATGTCAGCAGTTTCATTCATGCAGCTCTCTGTGTAGGCAATTGAAGGGGGACGGGGCTCCCTTCTTACCAGATGCAGCAGGTACAAATGTGTAATCAGCTGGTATTGGGTTTACAAGTATGTGCTTTTGCTGGTCTAACATAAACAAGTGTTGTGCTCTTTGCCTACCTGCAGCTCCTAACTTCTTCTGTTTCTTTTCCTAGAAAGATGTGGTTAATTGTTATGTTTCCTGAATATGTCTCTTTCTCTTTTCTTACGTTCTGTTTCCGTCCAGTGGAAAGAAATCTTGGTAAGCTCCTAGGCTAGGGAAGAGCAACACAAGCTAAAAAAGACCACATCTGGCTTTAGGGAGTCATTCTGCAAGCTGGTGGCTTTCAGTAGAAACATATCTAATCTCTTAATGCATGTCTTTGTTTCAAAGAGACTCGAGGGAAAAAAAGATCCCATTATCTTCAATAGACCCGTAAAACAATTGTCAGAACTGACATCTCTCCTTTGGATCTGTTGCAAACTGTATGTGCCATGACTAGATTTATATGGCAGATGACTTGAATGTGAGAGTTGTGGAGAAGCCACTCTTCTTTTTTTCTCTTTGGTAAAAGTAATGTTCCCTATTTAGAAAGGTGGAATGGGCTGGCAATGAATGATGTTAGAGGTAAATACAGCTTTAATTCTATCATCTCCTTGCTTTAAATCAAGTGGCTGTTTTTCCTTAATTGGGAGTATGTGAATGTAAATGAAGACGTAGAACGAGTAAAGGGAGTATAAAATTATGATTTGTTATATGCTGCCATATGCCAGAACAAACACACATGCATTAAAGTGAAGAAGTGTGATCGAGTCAGTTTTAGCTCCCAGTTGTGTATCGTTGAATACCAGATCCTGCTGTTATTGAGCAATATATTGGTAGTGAAATTAACGTTGTAGTCTGTAGTGCTGCCTACCCTATGTTAAATCATGTTTGTTGTCACGAGGTATCGTAAGTCATCTTAAAGGACTTTCTGTCATGTGCTCTCTGTAAATCAAGTACAGTTAGCTCTGGAAGATGGGGAATTATTCCTTTAGTAGAAATCATGTAGCAAAACAAGCTTAATGTAGAATCACTGGGTTTGATATCTGTGATTTACTTCTAGGGTTGGTAACCCACTAGATGTAATGCTGTATTTTCATGAATTAAATTGCAGGTGTGATTATCAAATTAAATTTTGGTAAATCTTTTTTTGAGAACCTACTTTCTTATATATAAATTACACATTTATGCTGAAAATAAGATTTTTAGATTTGCTGTTATGTTTCTGCAAATTCAATTACATCACATGCTAGCTGCTGACCTAGAAACCTCCATTAGGTTATTCAGGCTTTATGTGACATCAGTGGCATATAAGTTCATACTGTTATTTATGTTCCTTAGATGACTCTAAATAATTGTGTATTCATGTTTGTGGTCTTTGTGCAACTAGAACAACTTGGTAGATGACAGCACTTCAGAAGCAGGATGCTTTAAGAGGGAGCCGAGTTAATATAATTCTTCTCTATGTGAAAAGGTGAAGGAAACTTTGACGATTAAGTTTTTAAACTTATTAAGGAGTTGTTGCTATCACTGATTAGACAGTCAGCTGTTGAGGCAGTAGCTTTTATATAACAGGATATTGTTTTGCTCATCATGTTACCACATTTGGCAAACTTTTATCTTAATGCGCCTATCGGGAATACCAGTCTGACCTCAATCTGAGTAAAGCCTTAATAGTCGACGTGAGGGATGCTTGCAGGAGGTGGCGCGGTCATTTTCGCAGACTGTATATTTGTTATCGCATGTTAATCAGATTCATCATTCTGTTTAATAAAGATTTCATCTGCCACGCGAATGCATAATCGGCTATGTCTGAGTGACCGTCTTTTGTCTTGAGCAGATTGCTAAAACTGTATTAAGCATCATTAGACAAAAATGACGACCTTATTAATTTGTCCTTTATGTGTTTTCCAGCAGATTGGACCTCATTATTATGCAAACACAGTACACAGAGCGGCACCAGAAGTAGCTCATTAATGTTTCTTTCCCCTTAGTATGTAACAGATTATTATTGTGAAGTGTGCATGAAATAATTGCTAATTATGCGCCTTAAATGGTACAGTGATTGTCTAGATTTTTTTAATCCAGAGTTCTGTGGAAGACCATCAGAAGCTACAGGTTAGCAGCACTGAAGCAAGTAAACCAGAGGAAGTGAATCACAAAGCATGCATTTTATCACACGTTTTCCTGCCTGTAAGGAGTAATTAGGACAGCTATGGATAGTTTTTGCTTACGCTGTTTCATACTGCGTAAGAAAGTACTGTCAGCTGGCCTAAGGTATAAGGTATGTTAGTAGGTATGTCAGCCAATGAATATATGCGGGTAGGCTTGAACTGTTGAGTTACAGTAAAACAAAAATGGTGTCGATTCTTTAATGGTAATTCTTCAGTGAGCATGGTTCCCTTATACACCATTAAAAGCTTCCATTTCCCAATGCTGCTCCTTCCACCTCATGTTCTCCCAGTCGTTGCGTTTATTACAGGCTCTCTTTTCAGTGTAATTCTCCTTAAGATTCATAAGCATTATAGAAATTAAATGTTAGGATTTGGCATTTGTCTGTAGTTTGACAACTTTGTGCTAAGTGTGTAATTGGTTTAAGCTGGTGGTGCTTCGTACTTATCCGTGGCACATCTTCTGTAATCTGTCTGCCACCATAGCTGATAAGACTTGGCCACAACTGAAGTTTTTGCAGCGCTGGAAATAAAACCCTGATCCATTAAGGGTTTGTGTGGGTTTAGCTTTATAATCTGGTTTAGAAATTGTGAGTAGTCAGATTGCAGATGCAAGATTTGTTGTCGAAAAAGCATCATGAAAACAATTACAACAGCTTATGCTTTCTTAGCCTGTTGTTGACAATCTAACCTAAATGCAGTGAGTATTTCTGAAGAAAAGCATTCCTAGCTGGCAATTATTTATTACATTTGAGCAACGAAAAAGGTATCTCTGAGAGTCAGGAGGATACCACTCATCCAACATTACTTACATTAAATATTTTGGAGTCTTAACTGTATTTGGCTAGTCATGAATAGTTGCTGATGTCAGCTGGCACCATTTCAGTGTGATGGTTGCTGCAAACAGAGCTAAAATAAATGGGGCAGGTTAGTCAGAAGTTATTTTTTAAACGTCTCATGTTTAATGGATCATTACTGAATATTTATGAGGGACAGATATCTTCCAAAAAATGAAAATGGAAGTTTTTAATGCAGACACCAATTTCTTTTTTACTGCTCTGTTGTTCGCTCTTGGGCATATGGCTGAAAGAAACCTTGGATCCGCCGCATTTTTTTATTTTCATTTTACCAAAAATGCATTCATTTCTGCTGCTTCTGTCTTCTCTCTGTTGTCTTTGCTGTTTTCATATGGCACTAAAGCTTGAATTTTATGGAACGCATTGAAAAAAGTACTTGCAGGATACTCCTACCTTCTCATTTAAAGAATGCTTGCAGCCTTTTTGTGAATATTGTTAAAGCTGTTGGACGTACCTTATTAAAGAAGAAGAAATGGGTTTATGGCTCTGGAAATAAGGGTAAATGATGTCTTATCAAATGTCTTTATAGATACATGTGTATGCCATGTTGTCATTGCAAAGTCTTCCTTGTATTTACTATCGTATCCATGCTTGCATTATTCTTTGATAAGCCTGAAAGCTCTATGTATCAAGGACTGATTATATTATTGTTTACTGAGTTCTTTGAGGGCTATATTTAAGTGAAACTAAATCCTCATTAGTGAGAAACATGTCAGGCGCTGAGTGCCACCTTACAGTTGTTTGTGCTTTTGTTGTCTTCGAAGACTTAAATTTTCCTCCGCCCCATGAATTACAGTACCAGATACTTAACAGCTGACAGATGAATGTTACCATCTTGCCATGCTGGCAAGAAGAGAGAACTCTTGAGTAACTTCTAATCAGATAAGGATGGCTGCAGAAGGGGGCTTACAAAGCACAGGGACAGAACCAACTTCTTAGGTCACCAAGTCCATTTCTTCTTCCAGGTTTTATCATGGTACAATTTATGGTGGTCAGCCAAGTTGACTTACACTCCAGAAGTACCATTTCTTCAGCTTCTGTAAATGTCTTCATGTGTGTAAGGAGTCTTTATGAGGGTAAATAACGAGATATCAGTAAATGCAGTGATACGTTTTCTTTCCCATTTTTCTTTGTTGTCTGGGTTAGAGGCATGAAGTTGTGTATGCCTCTTTCAGGGCTGCAGGATGATTTCACAGCATCCCACACAACATGCTTTTCCTGAG